CTGGTAGATAAAACTTTGTCATTAAACAAAGAGAATAAACTTGTTTTTCAACATACAACTAGATATTCAATATATATCGTAACCATTTTATAGAAATAACACAAACATTCATTCCTTCATTTGTATTTTGTTTATTTATCTTCATTTTATGCATGTTGGGGCATATTTAATTCATATAATACATTCAAATAGTATGCTTTCTTAAACATCCACCGATCAGTGGCGATAAATAATGAATGAAATTTCTTTTGGTGGAATTTTGTTCTCTGAGCTGGATGGTTTGGTCGTGGAGTTTTCATCGTTCTTCTGAACGACATCATCAGCACAAACTTCAGATAGAAGTCTGAAGTTTGTGCTGATGATGTCGTTCAGAAGAACGATGAAAGCACCACGACCAAACCATCCAGCTCAGAGAACAAAACTCCACCAAAATCATCCACCTGAGCTACAAATCTTCTCCACCATCTCAGAATGAAATTTCTTCTCACACCTCAGATCCATTTACAATCTGTTATCTCAACATACATTTCGTTGCAGATCACAAGTCTCATACATACTATATCAAATAATAACTTTCAACATTGTTACCATGATTGGATGACCTATTCAGTATCCAGTTAACTGAAGAACTATGTTTCTATTTATATTCAATCATTTTGATATTTGATTATACTTCCTTGAAAAAGCTTTGATCCTATTACCAGGCGAAATCTTGGATTTACATCAAATACATTTATTAAGATTATACAAATATTACTATTCCTCCATAATATCCTTTCTATTTTGTGTTTACTGGTAAACGAAATACTTTCGGTATTAAATGAATGATTAAAATGATTTTTATTTTTAGAAAAACAAATGGTTATTTCATAGAAATCATGTGATATATTACAGTTTATTATTCATTTCATTAAGAAGAAAAAAGAAGAATTTTTCAATCTCTTTCAATGTATAATCTCTGGGTAATTTGCCCTTTTAGATATTGTTAATGAACATAAAATAAATGTATTCTATTTTATTTAATATTTATTATGATAATATTGTTAAATGATGTGATAAAATGAAATAAATTTCAAATAATATTAAGCTAAATGAACTTGAACAGCATAGAAACAAAATCCTCAATTGATTGATACGAGTGAGAGTGTAGAGAGTCAGCTCACCCTCTCGAAATACTCTCACATGGTCATGTTCATACAATCACTGCCAAGGAAGTCCTATTTACTGCCTTCTTGTCACAGGGGCGTTATTTATGAAATTGAGAGGACGGAGTGCTTTAACCAGGTTGTTGGATATGGAGGATCCATTTAGGAGAGTTAGAAAACCCTGATTCCAAATTAATGGTGCACATGAGCTTCAGGATCCTAAGGAAACAAATGGCTTATGAACCAATTGTTGGTCACTGGCTACCATGGAACTGAATCTGCTTACGTTGTTCTACTGCGTTGTGGATGAGACCTTTAGTTCAAAGGCTCGGGATGTGAACCTTGAATAAACCGCCTGCTTCTGTTTGGGCACCCGGACAGTATTTCAGCCCACACACGAATCGAATGATTTATTTGTTGTATATATATTTGGTGCCTTCTTGTACCAATGTTTATATATTTGGATACATAAAAACAAAACAACTCATTTTAATCATTGTTTACATCTCCTAAATGTTAATGTCAACACCTGTAATTGATTCGACTCTGTCCTAGAACAGATCCTGATATTAACTATGTGTCTGGATGATATATGAAACATTTGCATCTACATCATATCTAATACTTGTCAATTAATAGATAATGAATGAAAATTATATTGCCTTAAGAATAGTGTTCTAACCATGAAAATCAATTAACATAAAGAAAAATTCACGGTAAATGTTACATTCATCGAAGACTTTTATTAAACATAGGTGATGAATTATATATATAAAATGTGAAAGGATATATACATCTTGTCGATAAACAATGTTTGATAATAGTTCAGTGAATATTTATTCATCTTCTATGTACATTATTTGTAATTTATCAAGTCAATAAATATAATATATTATTTGTTTATTTTCTCACGAAAAGTTTTTTTTTCGAAGAAATCTATGTAAATAATACTGATGTAACCAGTAACTGGGCAACCGTACAAGTTGTTTACATTATGGATAAATCAGTAAACATTTATGAGAAAAAATTTATTTTTGGTGAAGAATGTAGTATTTTCATAATTGATTTCATGAGTTAATTGTCGATTTTCACTGTTGAAGAGTTTCATTACAAGGACGAAACAGTCTAGTTTATATCAACTCCTGAATTCAATTGTATAAAATTTATTTGCCTAAAAAAATCATTGATGACAATTGAAAGTATAGATGATAAAATCTTTAAAATTGATAGCATAGTTTGATTTAGAAATTTGGTAAAATTCATTGTTGTGTATTCTAATATGTTAGGAAACTGCAACAACGCTAATTCATGTAAACTGGTTAATTCATTTCATTTTGAGGTAAGTTAATATTTTTCTTAGAGAATGTATTCATCAATACACTGATAGTCATAATTCAGAAGAATACAAGAAGAAATAAGTAATTTTATTTGAATTATGAATTGTTTTCATTTAGATAACCATTGAAAACACAGATTGAGTAAAGTCAAACTTGGATTTCTGAATTAATGATCTGTATGAGAGGGATTTACGTATGAAGTCGAAGGCTCTTGGATGTTAAGGGTTCATTGATGAGGAGTTTTTAATATTTATCTAACCTTGAACAACTCGTTGTTGTATAAATAAAATTCAACAGCTTCCATAATTTTAGTAATGGCAATAAGTAATCTGTTACATTTATATGTGGATAATTTCTCATTTAAAAAACAAACAATTATGAATTGTAGCATTTATTCTAATTTTAATAGAAAAATCAGCTAAAGAAAACTTTATATTGTATGTCATGTTTTTTATTCAGAAGTAGTAAACAAATAACTGCCTTCTTTGACAAAAGATTGATAACAATTCATTGATTTTCTTTGAGCGTCGCAAAGGAACGCTTAATTTCTAGACCACTAAACCATTGATCGATTCATGATCACAATCAAAGTTTTAACAACTTTCACAACCCTGTACTGATAAATACTTTTTAGTTATTTCTGAAAATAGATTTTACTTATGATCACTTCATGAACTTCAATTAACTAGATACAATTTTCGAGTTTATATCGTTATACTACTAGTTATTTCGATGTATAAACCTTATCACCTGTATCAACCATGGACTTCACCAACTGATAAAGTTTGATTATTAATTATATTTAAGCAACTGAAGAATGATAGGTGTTTAAATCATCTATTATCACTAATGATTATAGATTATTTTAAACGTGCTATTCACTTTTAAGGAGATTTATCAAAACAAAAGTACTTCGAAGGTTGACTCACTCAGAAGTAAATTGATATAACGGTAGGATGAAAATATTTCCTGCTTGCCACAATATACTGTCATTACGACTGGTGGCCAAGCTCATTCTATCACTACATCGCATATTTTATCGGTACACATAAACAGAGAGTATGGGCGGGACAAAACTTTATTCGACACAATCACAAGCAACGAACACTCAATTATCGCAGAGGAGAAATCAGTTATGAAAAGGAACTCAAGTAATTAATCATCAGTAAGCTGTGCGTCTTGCTTACTTTCACTAGCCATATATTATAACCTTATGGGTTTTTTATGATAAAAAGTATTTTTGCATATATATATATATATATATATATATATATATATATATATATATATATATTGCTCTTCAACGACTTTCTGATTACTAGTAATAAATTTTGACAACATTCTATACCAAGTAGTATAACACATTACGATATCATAATATATTTCAGTATTTACTCAAATATATCAAAATTGAACAGCAGGAGTACTCTCAGAATCCAGTAACAGAATGGATCTTCTTGAAAAGTCAAACTACGCGATCAAATAGACGGATTATGCAAACATTATACTAAGAATATGTTTACCTACTACCAATGAATGTTGCCCTTATTTATGCAATTAACTCTTAAAAGTGTACTTATCACTTACACCGAATATTCATCTTCCTCAGTTTATCTGTTTTTACCCAGGTACATGATTATTTGTATGTTCGAATTAAAAATAATATACTGACCGATAAAATGTGAATGAACAAACGAAAATGATGAAGAATTCAGCATAGTGTTATTTTCTGATTGTAGATGTGCCGTACCATCCTTCGACAATGAAACAGATTTTGTAATTTTCCAGTAAGAAATTCAAAACATTCTATTTCAATACCAATTGAATGCAATTTTCTACTGAACCAATTGAGAGCGTATGGTAATTTGACATGTTAAATGATGTTAAATAAAATGGTAGTACACTGGGACTTATAAGTTATTTCCTATACATTCATATAAATGAAGTAGTCATAATATAATTGAACTTACATAATTGTTAATCAGGCTAACTGATTAATTAAGTTTTATACTTACTCTTCTCATTTGAGATTCAAAAAGAGCTAAAACTACCTATGGTACCGATTAATCCAATGATCAATATCTTCTTGTCGACCATAAATTTAATACTTCTTTCGACAGTGATACTTGAATGAGAATACATTTGATATTCATGAATTATTAAAGAATATATGGGATCAATCATCCAAAACAGTCATCTTTGAGCTTTTAATTATATGGTTTTCTAAGGAACTATTTTTGTTAATTTCGTAACATTCAATGCTGTTAAGCAGAATTATCAATGATTAATATTTATCTTTGATTGAAATTATGAGTCGATCCAAATCAAACCACCATTGAAAACCTGGAAGCATTAGATGGCTATTTTATCCTATTATGCGACTCCTCAACAGTGTTCATCCATGATTCCGCACAATGGACTCAAACCCAGGATCTTTGGTCTCGCACACGATCTAACATCGTTCGATTCATGATCTCAATCAAAAACCTAACAATCTCCACAACTACATACTGATAATGTTTATTTACTGTTTAATATTTGACATTTTCAAATAACATTTATCGTTGTTTTTTTCCATTAATAACTCATTAAAATCAATCAAGACTTGCGCATAATTCAAAGAGAATGAGAAGACAAGCCTACCTGAAGTATAATTTTATTTACAATGTTTATCGCTGCATACAGAGCAAATGATGTAAAGTCATTTTGATATATATATATGTCATATAAAAATGAGCTAACATATCGGAAATCTTTCTTTCTACATAAAAATAATACCCACTTTATTTAGATTGTTGATCATATATTAGTAGGTATTTGTCATTTATTCATAACATAATAAACTTGATTCAGAATTTCATTTACATATAGTAACTTGATATTTGAATATTACATCATTTGGGATGTTTCTATTGAAGAATCTGTATTGAATTGTCCACTATTTAATGTATCAATAAATCCATGTATATATTGTGTTTTTAAATAATCATTATCAGAAACATTTAAAACAACTTTATATTCATTATCTTTTAAATATTTATCTGGTATATATTGTTCAAATGTTTTCATTGGAAGCTCATTAACATTGAAATGCATTGAACCTATTTTAGGTAAAGATGTTTTCACTAAATTGTATTGATCTATTCCTGTTGATGATTTTCTCGGTAGATTTATTGAATCAGTTACTAAAATAAAAGGTGTTACTGTAGTATTAGAATAATTGATTTTATATCCACTAATTGATGTTCGATCACATAATGAATGTGATTGATCATCTGAAACAGATGATAATTGTTCTTGATTTTGTTTTAATCGTTTAGATATCATAGTATATCTTATATCATCCATACTTAATAAAGAACCTACTGAAGCAGTTCTATAAGTAACTGATGTCGGAGAGAATTGATGTAAATGACTCATTTGCTTTGTTTCAGTTAATTTAGAACAATGTGAATTTACATGTTTATTGCGATGACATCTATAAGCTAGAAATGTAAGTGAGATTATCATTATTAGGCCAGCACCGGCTAAACTAATTAACAGCCAAATATTAACTTGTTCATGTAAACGACTCATTGTTTTAAATACTTTCAATTTATTATATTGTAAATCATTTGTCTGTGAATGAATTATATCTGACTGTATAGATTCATTAGAAATATTGTTATTAAAATACTTATAGTTCGATGATAATAACGAAGAAGAGGAAGAAGAATTGGAATAAAAAAGTAATGGTAATGAATCGGTTAAGATTTGTTTTGTTGTCTCTTCATTAACTGGCTCATCACGATTCACATAGTTTACTCCACTATTAAAAAAATATGTTGAACTTAAAGTATAGTTGTTATCTTCAAGAAATAACAATGAACTAAATTGTAAAATATAGAAAATACAAATACTTACAATTAAATGTAACTAAATGACTGTTTTCATTGAATGCTAATGTTACATAATATTGAAATATTTATATTCTCGAACACATTATATAATACAAACGGTTGTAATTCATTATGGAAGAGGAGACTTAAACTAAATTTTCTCTTTTTATTCAAAACTACTTAATAAACTATCTTTTACATCTAATCAAGTGATTTAATATACAGAAACTTCTCATTATGACATCTGTAACTCCTTGTCACTAGTGAAATAAACTTATTCTAAATCATCTCTCTATATGAATTACTTCTAGACTCTGGAATAATCTACGACAATCCATCCGTACGATAAAATCACTCCCATTATTTGTTCTATGCATTGATGCATACTGCTCCTCTGAAAATGCATTGAATGTTCTAGCACCTGTAATTGTATCTTATTCCACAAGTTATATTATAGAAACTTTAAATGTTTAGCCATTACTACTAATGAATTCTCTAAATAAAACCACTTACTTACTGTCACTTAACGTTAACACTATCCCTAGCAAACTTAGCTCATTTGAATAATATCTAGCATCAACAGTATATCACTGTGTCACATGACACATGTATTTTGGTAATGATTGCATTGTTGTTCCGTGCTCTCGGTTTTCGTCTCACTTTCTCTAGTTGTAAATAATTATCATTATTTCGATCTGGCACAAAAAAATGACCTTAAATACACCGTTCATAAATCAAATGGCTGTCCACTGAAGGAAAATTAAAAGTTCCCGATTGATGAATTTGTTCGGTGTAATACATGTAATACCTAAACAATTACTGAACTAGTATACTTAAAACTATCTTATATCATATGTTTGTTCTCTACATCTAATGTTACTATTCATATCAAATTGATCATGCCTGTCAATCGGCGTGAATTCAGAATATATATATATATATATATATATATATATATATATATATATATATATATATATATATATATATATATATATATATATATATATATATATTAAACAAAGTAATAAAACTCTGACATTGAAGTAAATATAAATCTGGAATAGCATGCTTGTTTAGCGTATATAAAGTTTCTACATTGATGATTGACGATTGTTATTTTCAAAACATTTTTTTGATTTAATATAAATACCAGACAAATATACTAACGGATCAATAGTTTAAGCATTTACTCGCAAGACCTAAGGTCCTGGGTTTGAATCCCGCTCGTAGGATGATGGATATGCACTGTCGAGGCGTCTCATACTAGGACAAAATGGCAATTAAGTGCTTCCAGATTTTCAGGAGTGATCTAACATTGGTCGAATCATGGTTTCAGTGAAAATAATTTATACAATACTTATAAGACAAATACAAGTATTTTAAAATTAAACTTATATACGTTCTACTAACTAGTTGTTATTTGGACATAATACCTCAGTGGATAATTCATTGGAGTTTGAAGTAAAAGATCATTGAAAGGACTTCATAACCAAGATGAAGGTACATCCGAATGATAAGTCCCAATTAGGAAGTAATAAGGTTCCTGAACCTAACTGTTAGCCGATATCACTCTTTACATACAATATGAACGTTTGAATGGTAACTAATTTCAAGTGTACTAGGTCACAAATCTTTTTATTTTTAAACATTATGAGGATGCATTATCTAGTACTTCTAGTTATTGCAACACAAAACATTAAGCGGTCCATTTAGTATCGTATTTCTATTTTCAATAAAGAGTTTTCCAGTAAAAGTGGATTAAGTCAATCAGAATCAAGAGAGCGGCTTTTAGAAATAGTTCATATTTACTGAAGTAAGACAACAATTTAAATCATAAAAAGTTTGAAGAATATCAACTTAATAATCTACAATTACAATCAAATTTCTATCAACCTCTTTAAAGAGCAATTTTAATCAGCTTTTATCTAGCTGATTCATTTTCCATAACTAGTTGAATTTGTTTTATCATAACTGCCTATCCAAAACATATTTCGAAAACTTCTAATTACATAGATTGTGAGGTTATTCCTTTGTTAATAGTGCCTTTATATGTGTTATGTATGACTGTTTAATACAAATCAGTGTAATCTTTGAAATCTTATACTGATGAACTTTAGAGTGTGATCTGGTATGGCGAATAGATAAAATTACACATTTAACTTATCTGGATTTTTTGATCCAATATTACGTCCGTTTCTAATTCAATATGATAATTATTCAGTGTAATGTGTTTTTATTGAGATCATGAACTGATTGATGTTAGATCACCATTGAAAACCTGGAAGCACTTGTTGGCCGTTTCGTTCTATCTTGGGACTCCTCAGCAGTATACAATTTTTCTCAATACAACAATAATTAATTTCAGTTTGATGTTTATTGAATATTTAATACACGTTGTATTAAATTACCTTGAACTATATTCAACATGATATGTGGCTTGCGATTTTGTTATGTTTTCATACAAGTGACCAAATTTCATTATTTGTGCAAACCAATATATAAATGAATGAATTTTCGACTAGGGTTGTCGTCGTGTTTTTATGTTAATAAATCTTCACTGGTCTTCCATGTTCTTAAGTCACGTCATGTACAGTGATGTCGGTGTCAGTTATTTTATATTGTAGTGGACAAGAACACCAGTTCGGACAATTAAATCTATTCAGACATAACATTACAGAATATCTTGGTAAAATCTGAAAACCATTCAGTATATACTTCATTTGCAAAATGTTCATCAATTTTCACAGACTTTACGGTTTTTTATTTCTATTCCAATCATTCTCTGTTTTTGTTCGCTTCTCCTCGATATTCTCAACCTACTGTTACTAGGCATTCCACTTTCGGTTGGTCACACATACTACTTATATCTGTCGATATCAATAGCACACACCACCGTATAACTTAGCTTTTAAGACTAACTCTTTAAATGAATTCAAAATTCATTATTAAGAAAATATATGTATTTAAATGTAAACTCACTCTTTATAGTAGTCAGATTTGAGTAATTTCGGTTGAAATTTCGGTGTATGCTTCACATTTCCAAATCGTGTCACATGTATATACATTAAGTAGGATAAACCGGCAGCTATATCATTCAATAGTAATCCATTATAGTAAACACCTTAAAAATCAATAGAAAGTAGTCATTCCCAGTAAAACATATATCGTTTCTCATGATAATAAAAAAAATATGTTTCTTAACAAAGTTATGGTAAACAACACCTAATTGATTATTCACACTTAACTGATGTTTAAATGAAATATTCATCCATCAAAAGAATATCGGAAAGCATGAATAATAAATATATTCTTGAATGAAATGAATTAATTGCATTTCACTTATGGAAACCTTTCTTTGTTTACATATTTTATCACTGTTATGTAAGTTGTTCCTACCTAGAATTCTTGACCATTATTATTATTATTGTTGTTGCTGCTGTCTCATATTTTGTATGCCAATGTTTTATTAGCGAGACTATAACTTGTGGACGAACCAATCAGATTTACAATAATAGGTCTTGGATTTCGGCGCGAAATTCTTTATCCATTTGGCTAAATAGCGTTTTGGCATTTTGGCTGATGTTATTTCGTGATGAAAACTACAAATCTAATCCCTATACTTAACCATCAACTGTAAATCACAATCCTTATCTTTCACAAAGGTTTAAAACCCTCATTTAGCCCTAGTCAGTAGGTGGACCTACTCAAGATCATTTTTTTGTCGCTTAAAGATCGTTTTAATTGATAAAATCCACATATTCTTTGTTTACTCAAACTGAATTGATTTGCGCTTATTTGAATGAATCTGACAAATTGTGTCATACATATATTTACTATAATAATCGACTTTATACCGTTTTAATTAGTTCACTGATTACAATATATATAGGAAATTATTTGAATGGCTGGTATTTATACGCTACTCTACCTTTGATATTCAATGAAAACATAGTCAATGAACATTAAAAGATGTAAGAGAATAAAGATAGTTTATTGTATTTAATTTAAAAAAGGAAGAAACACTTCAATAATTACACATTGCCTAGTTTCTTTTAGTTTTCATCTATAAATAGCCCGTTCAAATGCCCGGCTTATCTCTTCTCTAAAACATGTATTTATTACCACAAAATTTCCAGATTTTAATCTGTTTCCATGAACAGATTATATCTGATAGACGAGTATAATTATACAATTTCATTGGATGTTTACAATCTAATTAATCAGATACCTTAAAGGAAATACTAGGATTGTCGGTAAATTTTCTCTCTCATCTTAGTTTTGTAGAAACGAGAGGCGGTTACAATTGGAATGCATACACCAAATGTATTATGTGAAAATAGACGTCATAAGAATAAAACTGGTATTAAATATCTATGAATGAGTATGAATGGCAAATAATTGTAATTTAAAACGTCTTATGTATAGGTTTTGGATATTCAGAAGTTGAATTCCTATAAAATGGGGGTTTCGTTCTGTTGTATGACAAAAACCCTTAAATCAAGTATATGTTACTGAACAAATAGAGAGTTGTTATACAGTCGTCAGTATGGAATTGTGGAGATTGTTGAAACTTATTTAAATCATGAACTGATCTAATTTAGATAACCACTGAAAACCTGGAAACACGGAACTGCCACGTTTTTCTAATATGATACAATGGAAGATGATTGCGTAATATTGATTGAAATTAAACTTGTACATAATTGTGTCCCAATGCATTGGTTCTAGGGATCAGAAGTTTAAGCGTGAGATTAAAGATTTTAGAAGCAGTCCCTAAGGTTGAGTCATGAATGCACACTTCTGGGTAGTCATATACTATGACGCAACGGCCATGCAGTTCTCTAACTTTTGTTCCTGTTATTAATAAAGTTGTACATAATCAGATACAGGGTTTTAAGGTAAATCTGGGGTTGATCTGTAGTCCAAACCTCTCTAACTTCTAGGTTCTGCAGCTTTATGAATATGTCTGAAACCTTAAACGTGACGGTACTATTACAGCTCTTATCCAAAAATTAATAAAAAAAGTTTTTGCAAACTGTTAATGTTAAAACTTGAATAAAATTCATGTAAAGAAGTAACCGACATAAGGTTTCGACATCCAATGTCGCAAGCAACAAAATAACGTTTATTTTATTAAATGTAATGTTTTCTTTAAACTAAATATTGAAGTATAACCATGTATAATGAAGACATTAAATGTTACATGTCTATCCAAATATTTTAACGTAACAACATCCTATGTAATTTTGTGGTGTAAATAAATGTACTAAGAGTAGTCTGATAAATGTAACTGTGGAAATTGATATCGGGTTCATAGCTACCGGAAACTCTTGGCTTTTACTTTAAGCTGTCATAATCATTATTTGTGATGACTATTCAAGTCTCTAGACATATATTAATACATTTAATTGATTTTCTCTGGTTTGGGTTTTTGCATAAAGATTGTTGTTTACGAGATGGGTTTGAAACTTCTACGTTCAGCTCACTTCTTTTTACTAAGGCTCCCATCTGGTAACAACCCTAAAGGGACTTCAGATTCAATATGATCTTAAAGAGATAATTATATATTTATAGAGTTTTACACCTACTGATACCGATATTTCATTGAAAATGAAAGAAATACAATTACCCCTTCTAATATACATGGATATATTAGAATTTTAGAATAATGTTGACAATGAGAACAAAATAGTCACCTTCAATAGGTTTGTAAATGTAAACATATTGACCTAAAAAAAACCTACCCAAATGTTACTTTTGTAAATTTATCATAATCCATAAATGATTAATCAATAATATTCCTTATTTCTATGGTGTATAATCAACAACAAAAAAATATGATAATATAACTTACCAGTCATGTAACCATGAAAAAAGTCTGTCTTATTTAATTGTGGTGCATGTCCAAGCCAAATAACTTTTTGATTATTGAACTGTTTCCCATATATACCTATAAATTATTGAAACAAACAAAAGAATCCATCTATTTACTAATCAAATATAACCGGATAATTATAAATTAATAACTATTGAATTTTATTGTAACTATGATAAGTAAAAAAATAAACAGTGGAAAGTTTTAATTAATTAGTCGGCAAAAAAAGGAAGAAAAAACCTAATATGAAGAAAATTAATGGATGAAATGAAAATTCATTTCCTTTCTATATTGTTCCTTATATTTATTATTGAAGAAATCTATAAACTAATGTAATTATGTCTATATGTAATATGTAGTTGAAGGTTTAAAGATTTTAGTTCCGATAAAAATAGTCATACCTGGGAAGAAAAAGTGTAGTAACTAATGAATGAATTTGAATTAGAACACTTTAAAGTACAGTTATATTGAAAATACAGATGAAATCTAGTATTACGTTGATGAATTGATTAACGTAGAATATGATATACAACGAATGACTATGGAATGTATAGAACTTTCAGAATGGCAAATTAGAAGATAAAACAAACAGGAGAAGTGATTATTCGGTAAGAATTTAAAAAGATGTATAGAAAATCATAGATATTTATAGATATTAGAGTTAACTATAACATCATTATAATTCAACCAATCTGCAAGGAAACAAATTAAGCTACCATCCAATCGTAGTATACCAAGTTTTTATTTTTGAAAATTCTATCTGGTTGTGATTGTGTGGAAACTCTTTGACTCCTTTTAGGGACTCTAGAGGTTCCATCGTACTTCTCGGATGCCATCTTAACACCTAGTTACTAAATCGTCGTTTAAACATAATTTTTTATTAGAGCTATATGGATTTTCTAAAAAAATTTGTATGAAATTATAGAGTATCACATTCATTGAATCTTTATTAAATTATTTCAAATATGTCGTTAATAAAAAAAATTGACAGTGTTTAAAATGTATCTGAGTATTTGATTAAGATCATTGTTGCGTGAGTATTATACTACCATCTGATCTACTATTTCTAAAATATGTTACCATATAATTTCTGTTGATGTAAAAGAATATAGATTGAAAAGATGGGAACTTTTGGAATTATTTGATCAAATTTTATTATACATATTTGTATTATCTCATAACTAAATTATTGAACTGTTATATTATTATATTTCATATGTTGTAAGCTACCTATGATTTATTAACTAATACTATACATCTTATTATTTCTAATTTATAATTAATTATTTACCGTTTGTTAGATTCATTGTCATATTGGTCTGTTTGTAGTGGCTGTGCTTTGTTAACCAATTACCCTCACAACCGTTATATATATAATCCTCAACGGTGTTTGAAATTAGAAGGCAAAGAGAAGCAGTGACTACAGTTTATTAGCAGATAACTCAGACCGAAAAGCAGAGAGGCGAATGAGTGAGTCAGCGAACCGAGAGTGCAGAGTGTTAAATGTACATGTATATATATATCTAGGGAAATGAATGGATCATCGAATCGATTAAGCAGCTGATAATAAAGCTAGCAGAATCAACATATGAGTAGGCGGTAAGCAATGTTCAGGCACACATATTTCAGACAAGCACAACAATAATAAAGGTACAATAATTTATTATAGTACGGATGACTTTATTTGTTAAAAAAAGTTAACAAAACGGCTTAACCGAATTAAATATGAACAAACTCAGTTGCACGTGTGATGCTATATGCTTATATACAGTATTGTTTTTTCATTGATATTGTGATCCAGTACGTTATCTTTGTATATAGGCCTACACTGTTTAGAAGAATAATGATGAATTCTTGGTTGTTATCATCACATATTCGAACTGAAGTCTTGAAAGGAACGGAACAATAAACGTTCTGTAATTTTGATTCAAAATTTATCATGTTTTTGATTAAAACTTAGGACACTGAACTATGGAAGGAAAAGTCGTTAGGATGTTTTGTTATCTAATCTATCACATTGGCAAAATAAGTAGGATTTGATTAGGGGCTTATCTTGCAGATCATCTCACCGTATCTTTTTACGCTATTGATAATGATGTTAATTAACTTGAAACTGTAATGAATTCCTGAATGAATCCAATTTAATTAGAAATGTTTGGTTAGTGAATTTATATGCAATGATAGTGTATATATATTTTTTAATATAGATACAGCATAGCGATAACACCTTTCAATATCTACTTATTCAAAATTCAGAATGTACATAATGGAAATCGTGTAGTTAAATTTTGAAAAATTAAAAGCATAGTCATGTGTTCGAATGTTGATAAATCAACTTACTGTTTAGTTCATATGTATGTCTTGAGTCATCTACTTCAAGAATTATCTGACGATCGACACGATAGCCTCGTATTCGATGATAAAATCCATCATTGATTGGGAAATTAGGTCCACTGATGTGAACCACACCTCCACCCATGTTATAATTAAGCCGCACTACACCTGATTCCTAAATAGGAATTTTCAAAAAGTTGCAAAAAAATGAAAAGACATTTTCATTGTTTTATTAATTGCTAGTAACAAATGTAATATTTGGCTAGTCCTTAGGGCAGATCTAATTCTCTAGATCAAGTTTCGATAACACCACTAGTCTAAATATTCCGACATCGCATGTGCTAGGTGTCGTTGTCGGGCATTTATATGTAGTTGGTAGAAAACCTCTAGGTTATGTTTTCTGATATTATTGTTACTTGTTGTTACTCAAATACCTTAGTGATGAAGTCTCAAACTACAGCATTAAATAAGGCATGTTTGAACCCCATAGAGAATATCTGTTGACTTAACAGTTCAGGTATGCCTTGATGATTATTCTCAAATAACATGAAACTAATGACCAATGTTTCCTGCAAATGACCTTTGAGTACCCACGATAAAAACATAATAAAACTATATAGATGGATTCTTTGTAAAATTGTGTTTGATGGTCAGATGCATATAGGTTAGTTAAATTATCAACCTGTTATCTCGAGTTATTTAAAACTTAGAAATCAAATCCATAACGACTGTTAACGTTGTTTTATCAGTGTCACATAATAGTTAAGATTTTGAATTCTAATTGACTCATTCTAGCTAGTAGTACTTTTAACCTAAATTGATCTTTCCTTTTCATAAGTTAGCTAGACGACGATCATTCATTATTAAAATGATTTTTCTGATTCTCAAGATTGTTTTATGAAGAATGTTACCTCATTATTAAGTGTAGTGGTATTTTATCACTTCTGTGAAATATATCTGTAGCAGCTTCTATCGATCTAATTTATTTAACTCTTATGTGATGTGAAACCCAAGTTCATATGGTTTATGTTCTAAATCTAGAATTTATTCCGTCTACTTTTGTCATATCATCACCTAGTTATCTATCTGATATATGTACATGCAATCTAAATCTAATCTGTACAAATAAATATCATCTTTAAACGTTTAATAATGTAATGATATGTGTGTAGCCTTACATAACCTTACATAAAGCTATATGTTCTTACAAACAGAGAAAGCAATAAGAATTGACTCAAAAGAATCGGATCTGTCCAACAAAAAGATGTACAGTTAGCCGCTTGACTTTACTATGATTCAAAATTTTATTCCTTTTCATCTCTCTATGAAACATCTCCCTATACAAATGATATGATTAATAATAAAGATATCATAAGATTATTCAAATTTTGTAAGGAATATAAATACAAGTATAACAATACCAAGTGAATATAATCATTTAATGTTTGTTAACTTGATTAGTTCTAATTACTATTTCAATGTTCTGGAACTTTCCCTCCCAAACCTTTTTTATCCGAAAAAAAAACAGATTTTAAGATCTTATTAAACTCTATTGAAATCTTCGCTATATCATGATACATATATATTCATTTTTAATCACCCTTGTATGTAATAAGTATGTTAATATCCATAATAACGTTGATTTTCAAATATTCTAGTTTGTAAGTAGGTGGTGAGCATCTAACGTAATACGATAAAATTCATATTATTCTTACCGATCTTCGTTCGTGTTCTTTTTCGGTTATATGTGTATGAAATTAAAAATATGCTAGACGACCATCGCAAACCTCGAAGCACTGAATGGTCGTTTCGTCCTATTGTAAGAGTCCTCACCAGTGCGCATCCGCGATCACGCCCGGTAGGATTCGAACTCAGTGCCTTCGTTCGCACACATGAATCAGTTCAATCAATTCATGATCTCAATCAAAAACATAATAATCTCGACAACTCTATACCGATAGTTACCATGTGGTCACTAGTGTCAAGCTTCTTGAGGGAGCTCTCGGATTTCTAGCGAGAAGCCGTGACCAGTGGAGCAAATCTGTGTCGGGTAGAGACAGGTATCTTCCTCAGTACAATGGAAGATGGTCACAGGATTTCTTGGATTGGTTGAGGTTAGACATGAAAACCGTTGGATTTCAGCTCAGTTGCCTAGAGCTTAAGGGTTCAGGCGCGTGACTGAAGGCCCTGGGGTTCGAATCCCGCCCGTGGGATTGTGGATGTGCACTGTTGAGGAGTTCGAAAATAGAACGAAACGGCCACCCATTGCTTTCAGGTTTTTAATGGTAATCTAACATCAATCAGTTCATGATCTCAATAAAAACACATTACACTGAATAATTATCATATTGAATTAGAAACGGACGTAATATTGGATCAAAAAATCCAAATAAGTAAAATGTGTAATTTTATATATTCGCCACATCAGATCACACTCTAAAGTTCATCAGTATAAGATTTCAAAGATAACACTGATTTGTATTATACAGTCATATATAATGCATATAAAGGCACTATTAACAAAGGAATGACCTCACAATATATGTAATTAGAAGTTTTCGAAATAGGTTTTGGATAGCCAGTTTTGACAAAACAAAGTCAACTAGTTATGGAAAATGAATCAGCTAGACAAAAGCTGATTAAAATTGCTCTTTAAAGAAGTTTGTAAATATTTTGTAGATTGATTGAGGTTAGACATGAACACCATGAGATACCGATTCAATGGTCTGGACATTAGGTGTTCAAGCGTGAAACTGAAACCGTTGGATTCGAATCCCATCCACGGAATCGTTGATATGTACTATTAAGAATACTCATAATAGAACGTAACACTCTTCCAGTGCTTCCAGATTTTCAATGATGATCTAACATCAATCAATTCATGATCTTATTCATATTATTCACTTTTATTTAACATGAATTTATCATCATTACTATTAAATAAATAGTAATAGAAAAACTATATTGTATCTATGTATAAACTTACTAAAAATAAATGTATAAAATCACCAATTTGTGTTAAACTAGTAACAAATAATAAAGTGGTTATATAATTATGAGAAATTTGTTCATTATTTTTGTATTGTTTTTGTTTATAAGTTAAATTTGTTAAAATTGTTTGAATACCAAGTACAAATTCATCTTGTCTTGTATTTCTTACACGATCTGTATAAATTAAACGTAAATAACCAATATGATCATTATTATCATCATCATCATTAATTGTTTGATTGATATTATTTGATAAATTATAACTTATAGTTGTATCATCATGAACACCATAGGCAAATGTTGTTCCAGCTAGAAAAGATATTTTCGAAAAGAAAAAAAAACAAATATTATTAAAATATTGAAACAGATTTGATTTTGTTTTTTAAATGTACAATTTATGAAACAAAACAAACAAGCTTTCCTGCTCACTGAAACAAATGAAGATCGACACATCCTCCGCCCACAGTTTCTCCAACTGCATTTACCAATTCACATGTACGTGCCGTAGCACATACATTGGAAGAACTAAGAGAAGAGTACAGGTTCGCATTTCTGAGCATATTCCGAAGAACTTGACGCTGCGAGGGACCAAAGCTTTTAACAGTGCAATAGCTCGGCATCTACTTGACACCGGGCATACCGTCGATATTCTGCACGCGTTTAAAATTATCAACAGACAAAAAAGTACTACCACTCTCCGCTTTGCTGAAGCGATTGCGATTAAGAAACTGAAACCGGATTTATGCATTCAAAAAGAGACTTTAATAAACTTATCACTACCCTGGTAATCTTTTTGTTTCTGTTTGTTTTGTGTTTTGGTTATTTTTTCATTTACTTATTCTAAGATATTTTATACTCCCCCCTATTACCTAATTTTTAAACTAAATTTTATTCACACATTTCCACCACCTGATCCTCTTAAATTATCTTAACTTTCCAAATTCTATTTAATTATTATTACGTAATCTACCTCATCATTATTTAATTTCATTAATCTCTACAATTTATGAACTTCACTAAATTATTACACCACCCACCCTGGATTAACCCCCCTCTTTTGACCTCTGACCTGTTTCTAGCATATATATAAATATATATATATATATATATATATATATATATATATATATATATATATATATATATATATATATATATATATATATATATATATATATATATATATATATATAGTTATTATTGTAATCCAGTTATTTACACTTATTTATGTCAATTGTTTTCACACTATCTCCATGAAAAAAAATTCTATCACAATTTTGGCTTGTAAGCAGCTGACGAGAAACCTCGAAATAATATGAATTCATACTATTCTGCATCAATGTTTGTTCTTGCTCTATTCAAATTCATAAAGGGAAACAATTGCATGAAATTTCCTGGGTTAATTAATGAAGTAAGAATTTGATTCGATAAAACTTTTTAAAGCCCTCGAATACCCTGGTACAGCCGAGGTTTGGGAGAGTTAGTTCTCCCTATTGAAATACTCTCACATGGTCATGTTCATACAACCATTGCCAAGGAAGTCCTATTCACTACTTTCTTGTCACAGGGGTGTTATCTACGAAATTGAGAGGACAGAGAGCAAATACCTAGTGCTTTAATCGGGTTGATGGATACGGAGGATCCGTCTAGAGGAGTTAGAAAACCCTGATTTCAAACTAATGGTAGACATGGGCTTCAGGATCCTAGGGAAACAAATGGCGTATGAACCAATTGTTGGTCACTAGCTACCATGGAACTGAATCTGCTTTTGTTGCTTTAATGCGTTGTAGATCAGACCTTTAGGTCAAAGGCTCGGGGTGTAGACTCTAAGAAAGCTACCAGCTTGGGCACCTTGGCATTATTTCAGCCGTCGTGCGAATTGAATGATTTATTTGGCACGTATATATTTGGTGCGAATGTTTATGTTTTTAAATGGATAAATAAATAATAATGAACTATGTTCTACTTCCCTTTATAAAATAATCCAGGTTTTTAATCATAGTCTAACTAACATCAGTTAGTTGTATAGTCTGTGATAATTTTATCATATTCATAAAACCTTATATTGAATAGTGTATGACATTGTCTGTTACAGAGATCAAAACGATACATAGTTTAATAAATGTTTCATGTAGAAATAGCGAAATTTTACGTTGATCATTGCTTCAATGGTTCCGAAATGTATCAATTATAAACTTGAAAGGCCATCTGAAAAAAAGTTAGGAAAATTCTATAGAAGCTTTTAATTAGGATTAAAAATTGATTCCACTTGGACAATCATTTAAAATTAGTGCTCTCTCCCCACGAATTCATCACAGATGATTAAATTCATGATCTCTGGTCTCGTGCATAAATTCTTTACCTTTAGACTACTTAGCTACAACCTAATGATTTCTTAGTATAATCCACGATATCGTGCAACTCTCTTCATTGACTTCGCAGTTTAATTTTCTCACGCATAGCATCCTTGAACCCCACTAGTCATGGCGTCTGACAGACTTCTTACAAGCTGTCAAGTTATATTTAACATAATAAAATAAACCACGTGTGTAAAGTGTATAATGTAGGAATTGTTATGTCCAGTTAACTGAGATTATTATTTAATGAATAAACTGACATAACTGAAGTCAAACTATTAACTTTATTCATGAGAATTAATGTTACACAATATGATATAAGTCGTCAAATCGATAATAATTTAAGATTGAGAAATAAACGGAATTTCATCCATGACTGTTATACAATTCGAATCATTGAAGATTATTCATCGAAGAAACTTTCTCTTGGAATATATCATTTAATATAGCTGTACAAGCGTATGCATTGTGATTTGACAAGTAGATTTTTAGTTAATCTTGATAAATGCTGCTTGTTGAATCTGTAAACTTTGCATACTTTGAAGCATCCAATTTAATATTACTGGGAAAATATACATTTTAAAGTCATCGATGTATCGAAATAAAGAAATAGTTACTCTCTAGTCTAACTGTTACCCAGGTAACGGTAAGCAATCTGTAGGGATAACACGAAGTAACTTAACATGCATCACATACGCCTAGTCATAGGTATCATACTCATATGTGTCACTTCTAATTAATATCAACCAAAACTTGTAAAACTTGATGATCAGACAAAAATGAAGCATGTAGAATGTCAAAGTCAACTTTTTATTCCTTAATAATTACCTCTATCTAAGAAAAGCGGAATGAACCCATATTTTGTGTTCACAAAGGTATTTTAACAGTATAGACAACTGATCTTCAACACAGAAGTTATCTCCATTCAATTACGCGATATATGCATATATTTATTACCGAATTCGAATAAATAGTCTAAAAATGGTGCAGAAAAGAATTCTCTGTGTACTTAGGGAAGTGTAAATTATTATTAACCGACCTTGTAACTTCACACATACATTCCAAAGCTGGTTCTCGGGGTAAATTCAAATTTATTTTTACTTAAAACGTCAAGTAGCCAAATACAAGTTAGGATGGAATCAATTTTAATTAGGAGTCAGCTAACTCATTAGTTCAGACACCACACACAGGTAGAGATCATGTAAAGTGAACTTTAAATATTTCTATCACTGTATCCATGATCGAGTAGTAATTAATTTATTGACTGTGCTTACAATCAAAAAGAGAATAGAGAGTGATAAAAAGTAGGTTACAGAAAAACATTCCGACTCACATACACGTAGACAAAAACATAGTTAACTGAATGATCAAATAACAAACAAGTTTAAAACAATAAGTCTCTTTTGTTAATCACGATAAAGTAATGAAATCAGATAAAGGTTAATGGAAATATATTGACCTATGTCTGACCCACTTCTATCTGTCCCAGGAAAGATAAGTTCGTTAAAGAACCTGCTACACAGAGAGTTAGCCCTTAAATCCACAATGAAATTTGAACATAAATAAAAATAATTACTTTTTTACTGACCTTTTATACATCGATGCCCATCAAATGTAGTCAATTCACAGGCACATTTAACACCTAACCATGTATGTAAACAAATTCCATCATTTAAGCAATATGGTTGAAATAGTTTATTATTATCATTATCTCCAACACCATTTTTATTTGCTCTTTTCATAGTTGAATGATTTTGAATACGTTGAATTTGATTACAGTTCAATACACCTTTCGGTCGATAATGACAATTGTCCACGATTTGATCTCGGCAGACAGGTAATGTCCAATTTTTCGCATATTTCAACTTAGCCATATTTAATAAATCAAATGGAGGTAGTCCATTTATAGAGAAATTGCCTAGACAACCCTTATCAAAAATTAAATAAATAAATAAATAGAAATTAACATGTATACCAATAAGTTTAGAATATTGTTGAATTCTCCTATTTAAGTGGATTAATAGTGGACCTTTCAGTGTCATTTTGGACATTATCGTCGCTTCATAAAGTTAATGATAATGATGTTACCTACAATTACAATAAAATTTCCGTTATTAAACGATCAAACTCAGAGGATTAAAAAACACTAAATCCATCTACTTCTCCAACATGCAATTAAGTAATTGGTACAGTTCGTTTTGCTTAAACTGAAACTATAGAATACAAATGACTTGGTATAATTTATCAAGTCTGATTTCACGGCTGTCTGATGAAACAAGCGTTTGATTCGATTAAGCTCAGTGAGGCATAACATTGAACTTCCCATCATATAATCCATTTTAGCCATGATCCGGTGTCTTACACTAAATTTATCAGTATATTTTTAATCGGTTATTTTGGGCTTTTGGAAAGTAACCAACCTCATCTATTGAACAAATCGTTTTTCAGTTGAAATAAATGATTGAATTATAACATAAATCACTCAAATATGTTTGGACGTGGTTGTTTTTTTTTATCCGAAACTGACGTTGATAAAATAATTAATAATAACAAGGAATTTCTAGTCAGCTGATTCGTTCTAGAATATTAAAATACATGCTCATTGATGACTTCATTTCAGATCTAGTTCCCTGAAGTTCTGGTAAGAGGAAAGGACTTCAATTATAAACAATTTTTACAAATAATAATTTTTCTCAAAAAACTGGTTTTAATGTGATATTGGAAATATCCTTCTGTTTTCCTGTATTGGGTCCAACAATCTAGCATGAAATATATGTAAAATTAAACCGAAGATCTAAGTCGATTTGTTGATATTGTCAAGTGCACTTAATGATTGAATGTCTAAACTTGTCTACATTAGATCACTTTAACCTCATCATAACTAATTTAGATAAAGATATGCATTAACACTAAAATGTTGTAAATGATAATCGGATCAGTTTAGTTAAAATTTGTTATAGAAATAACTAATATCATTAAATGAATGCATATTTTGTTTGTCGTATTAACCACCACAGTAAATTCATAATATATGGAAGACCACTGAACGACGCTAAGGTGATCTTGAGAATGTTCAACTACTAACTAGGTTATAAACCAGTGTGAGGAATTAGAATTTTGATTTACAGATGACAGTTAGGGTTAGGAACTAGATTTAGGGTTTCATCATAAAATGATATCGATTAAAATGCAAAAACGCTATGTAACCAAACGAATAAATGAGTTTCTTGTCAAAAACCAAAACATGTTATAATTTATAGAAGAATCAATCAGATTTACGATAAGAGATCTTGAATTTTGGCTCGAAACTCGTTTATCCATATGGTTAAATAACGTTTTAGCATTTTAACTAATGTCAGTTCGTGATAAAAACCCTAAATCTAGTTCCTAACCCTAGTCATTAACTGTAAATCATAATTCTAATTCATCACACAGGTTTACAATCTTCATTTGATCTTAATTATTAGGTGAACACTCCCAAGGTCACTCTAGCGTCGCTCAGAGATCATTCATAAATAATAGTCTCATCATATGTTATTTTATATATATGATTAGTTCATTCATAAATTATTATAATGTTGCCACCATTATATAATAAGGTGTCTAAAAGTGATTTTATTCAAGAAACAAAACGTTATAATTAATATAGTAGTTTGAAATTTGGTATAAGATTTCAAACACACCAACATTTAACACATTTACAAAATATTCCTTATTATTTATTTGAACACATAAATACAGGCACAAGGGAGCACCAGTTACATATGCGTCAAAAAAATCTCATTTGATATGTGTGAAAGCTGGTATACTGCCCGGTTGCCCAAACCGAAGAAGGAACAAAATATTCCAGTCATTCCACAATAATCAAAAATAAATAGAAACTATCACCATTGGATGCCGGCTCAGTGGTCCAGTTGGTTAAGCGTAAGCCTGCGAGACAGAATGCTCTGGGTTCGAATCCTGCTCGCGGGATCGTGGATGCGCACTGCTGAGGAGTCCCACAATAGGACGAAACGGCCGTCCAGTGCTTCCAGGTTTTCAATTGTGATGGTCTAACATCAATTGGTTCATGATCTCAATCAAAAACTTAATAATCTCCACAACTCCTACACTAGTAAAAATACATAACTCAATATTTTATACTTTCAATTCATTAGCACATAATACCCTATTAAAGTTTGAATTTTTAATAGTACAATATTATGAAAACATAAAAAGTTTCCGTCTTCTTTTTTTTCTTATCAAAGAAACTTAATTTAGTCTGTTTTGTTCACTATGACTATTTTCATATATGTCAAATGGAGATTACACAAATCACATACATTCACCAATGAACAAACAAACAAACAAACAAACCAGTTCAAAGTGTTTTATATTATGTAATAGTTACTAAGTGAATTATTTCTAATGAATTTTAATTTAAATTAAATATTGTCTAATTGGTCTCTCTACCTCCCTCCCTCCCTCTCTATATATGAATGGATGAATATCAAAATTAATTGTTTTCTGTTAGAGACTAATAATTTTTTTTAGTGTTTTGTTTTTGGTTTTAGTTATGGAATAAACTATTGTTAGGTCATGTGGATAACATTAGGCGACATAAATATGAATGTATGTTTTTAATGAAATCTTTAGAAATAGATATGAAGTATTTTAGATAGAATTTTAATGGTTAAATTTCAATAGGAATCATGAAATTTGATATTGTTTGTTTGTATCTTCTCACTATTTTATAGGATTGCAGTTAGTCAGTCTGTTATTGGCATTTATGCCTATTGTGTGTATTGTTTCGATATTGCCTTAAGTCACGAGCATTGTAAGCAGAGATGGATGATAGCTAGCAGTGGAATCCAGGATGCGTGTTTCGTCCTATTTGCGATTCGTGAGCTGGATGTATTAGGTTTGAGTCCCGAAGTGAACGTCAACTCTGATATGCCAGTACATTCAACGAATCTCAAATAGGCCTAAACGCGCGTCCTGGATCCCACTACCAGCTACTATACATCTTTGCTTTAATTTTATAATATTATTTTGTGTATAAAGACAGTTACAGTTGATTTCAACATGAAAAGTATTCACTGAAAACGAAAACGCACTAGGCAACTAATTCGTCTTAGTACGCGACTTGTCAACAATACACATCAACGAACTTACTGGAGATAGGACGAAGAAACATAGGACACTTGAACGAATAATTAATCTCTGAACTAGCAAGCCCGCGTCTAATCGTTTGCTTGTCTGATTTCAACTAATTCGCGATATAACAAGACTACTTTTCATTGCCTTCTATGAATAATTATTTCATGATTGATAAGGACAAAAGGTTGTCCGATATCTCTTGGTTTTCATTTATGTTCTGGCTAAAATCAGTTTGAATCAATATAGTTCTTAAATGATCAGATATTCTGAACTAAAAGTAAGGTATGTTGTGAACCTGATTAATTTTGCTTGCAACTCAACTCTTTGTTTTCAATAAAAACAAACATATATAAGACTCGCTAGTTGGGTGTGCCTGCATCACAGAGTTGATGCTCATTTCAAGACTCAAAATCGGTATCCTGTACTTCAAACGCTATTCCGTTATCTCTTTGGCCACTATCCATCTTTGCTTAAAAATACTTGTGACTCGATGAAAAGAATCTAGGAAATATGCACGGGATGCACATATAGTAAATGAGACAATGATATTTAAACATTCTCTTAACTAATTTTATAGTTGAATTCATGAGTTAACTAAAGCTAGACCATCAGGAAAACCTGAAAGCACTAGACGACGGTTTCGTCTTAGTATAGGACTCCTCAACATTTTCATTGTTTAGTTGTTTTGCAATCAACAAATACTTTAAGTTCAGGAAAGCCTAGGATACATTAATTTTGATTCACTTTAGACCATCTAGCCTTTGCGGCAACTCATTCGCTCCATATTTACTTCCACTGTATGAAACATGATTGCCATTCAGCAAAAATCTGCCTTGTCTTACGTTTGAATGAAATCGTGTGTACAACTGACTTTCCCGAATAAAGTTCTTCAATAATAAGATGAACAGATGGCAGTCGGAAAGCCCAAACATAACACACAATATTTTCATTCAGATAGGTAGCTGACTGTCATTCTGACCATTGTTTCTGTCTTCACTACCTTTACTGAAACCTACGATATAATTGAAAAGATCTCTTTTCTACAGTGTGAAATATTGACGAACATTCCTGAAAACTTCATAAATTTTCTCGAGAGCTTTTCTGAAGGTTCACATTGAGCTACAGTCACTCACTTAGTACAATTATTTTATAGATTGTTCAACTTGGAAGTTCTAAGTCGAGAAATTATCTTTAATGTATGACTTAAATACTCATGTTATATCGTTTGCTCATATTTAACATTAAATATACTTGAATTCACTTTATATTGTTTGTTTGAACCTTCCCATTGATGTTTAGAAATGCAATTGATCAGTCTCTTATTGGCGTATATGCATACTGTGCGTATTTCCTCGATATTTCCTTAATTTACAAGCATTGAAAGCAGAGATGGATGGTGGAATGCAATAAGCGTGCTTGGTCTTATTTAGAAATATACTGCTAGAAAATCTTCTTACTTCAAGTTGATACCATAAACATTTCCTATATACTTATTTACAAGTCGGGTGTATCTTACATTGTATTGATATATAGTTTGAAGTTGATACATGTGAAAGAACATCTTTGAAATTATTTTTTCTGTCAAATTACCTGAAATCCATGGTATGAACTAAGTTTCTCTCTCCATTTCAAGAATACAAGTTGAGATATACCACCGATATATAGTGGATCATTTAAATTGAAATTTCTTGCAATGTCACCATTGAAAACGGGTATCTTCAAATATTGTTCAATACTTTGATTCCGATCAATATATAATTGGAGTATATTATTTTCAAGATCTTTTCTGAAAGAGTATGGACAGATAAGAGAATAAATAAGAAGGTGAACAGTCATTAGATATCATGTGGAGTTGTTTGAATATAATTAGTAGGTAAAACGTAATCATCATTTAAGCCTATCTAAATGTAACTAAACAGACGCCATATTATGTAAATTATCTTCACAGATTATACGTATTCCTGATGTGATGAAGGCAGTGGAATAATGTAATTGACTTGGAGATTATAATAAACCACATTTATTCATTGTGGTTCGAGTGACAATAAAATTACATAGATATTTCGTTCAACATAAATCACAGCCGCTTGATGACGATTGTTCACAAGTTTTGGTGAGTATCGATTGATTTTATAACCGGTACTTTACAGATAATAATATCTACTATCAGAATGGGTTTTTGTGGAGATTTTAGAAATTTCACAAGTTGAAATCATGAGTCAGTTGAAGCTAGACCACCATTGAAAACCTGGAAGCACTGGACGGCCGTTTCGTCCTAGTATGGGACTCCTCAGCAGTGCGCATCCACGACCCCGCACCACCCGGGGCTCGAACCCAGGACCTACTGGCTTCGCGCGCGAGCACTTAACCATTAGACCACTGAGCCGGCATCCAACGGTGTTAATGTCTAACTTCAACCAATCCACGAAGTTGCGCTACCGTACACCATTGTCCTCAGTGAGTTCCTATCTCACAACAGACCTGGTTGAACTCCACTGGTAACGACTTCTCACTAGAACTCCAGAAGTGTCTCCTGAAGTCAGTCACTAGTGAGCAGGTGATTATTATTATCAGAATGGGTTTTTGTGGAGATTTTAGAAATTTCACAAGTTGAAATCATGAGTCAGTTGAAGCTAGACCACCATTGAAAACCTGGATGCCGGCTCAGTGGTCTAATGGTTAAGTGCTCGCGCGCGAAGCCAGTAGGTCCTGGGTTCGAGCCCCGGGTGGTGCGGGGTCGTGGATGCGCACTGCTGAGGAGTCCCATACTAGGACGAAACGGCCGTCCAGTGCTTCCAGGTTTTCAATGGTGGTCTAGCTTCAACTGACTCATGATTTCAACTTGTGAAATAATATCTACATCAAACATTCAGGGGAAAAAATAAGTCGTGGTACTCTTCGAAATTATGTCGTTTAACCAGTTCTCCTATTTTGTGGTGGTCGTATTGCTAAAGATGCTGAATATCTATAAAGATACTTTAATGCCTCAGAATCTAAGCACAGTCAAAAGTACGATGTCGACCTCCTGAATTGCATTGCACGATTATCGTACTCCAACTAGTTTTGAATGGTGAGAGTTCTAGAAATGTAGATGAGACAATATAATCTCATTAGGTCAAAATGATATTCAAGCCTAACTAAAGTGTTAAAATTTAGGTATTGTTTTACAATTCTAAGGTGATCTTTCTATTTTTCGGTTCATTAGTATAAGGAATAAATTAGTTCAATACATATAAGCCAACAATTTGTGTTTTCTTTTAGATCTTCATCAAGCTTTACCGTGATATACAGTTATATTTAAATTGATATATGGTAATATTAAACTAATCAAGGCAGTTTATTTGTCAAAAATAACAGCGAAATACATTACACAAGTAATTATGTAATAAATGAAGTGTACAAATCAACATTTTGAGTGCAAGTGTACTAACACTGAAAAGAAATATACAAGTTGCGTAATGTTTTTATGTAATCCGTCAGTGAAGAATGTATTCAAAAATGGGTTGAAGAAGAAATAAACAAAGAAAATGGTGAATAATAATATGTACAATTATAAGCAGAAATACATGGTGGCTAGCGGTGGAATTCAGTACGTGATGGCCTTCAAAGCGAACAGTATTGTGTTTAAGTCACCGGATGAACATTAACTCTAGGATGTATGTACATCCACTTTATGAGTCTTAAACAAGATGAAGCGCGCCTTCTGGATTCCACTGCTTGCCACCATCCATCTATGCTTGTAATGCTTGTTATTTTGATGCAGTATCGAAGTGATCAGTTCAAAATACACATCTATCAACAAGAGACTGACCAATTACAGTCTTAAACACCAATGGGAACGTTAAAACAACCAATACAGAATGAATTAATGTATAGAGTTGTTTGCTAAATCTAATTATACTAATAAGGAATAAAGGTGCTTTAAATTTCTCATGAATACGGAGATTTTGTTTATTAGTTCAAATCTCTATAGCTTCATGCTACGAGATCAAAGCCTCAGAAGAAAAAAATACGAGATAGATTATAAATTGCTAAGAAATGTTTGGTTGTGTTTACTTTATGACTGCTAAAGATCAAATGTGCTAAAACTAAGCTACATTCTGTTTTTATTCAGCGTAAAACCTCATGGAAATCTGAAAACTATGTTGTTCTTTGATACGTTTATGTAAAGGAAAAAATTAATTTTTTTATTTCTGAAGTATACTGCACTAATATGATTAATAATAGGACTACTGACCGGGTTTATACTACCTGTAGACTGGATAATCGGTCGATGTGATGTACATAGACTGGATTAAGTTACATATGAAACGTGATTCATGGCGAGATATGGCTAACCAAAGTGCATGTTATACAACCATTTATTCAACTCATTTATAAAGCAGTCTACACTCAGTGAGTCCAGTACAGGGGTCAATAATAACATGAAAATCTCGCATTAAACAGCTTTCTGTCCGTCCACGATCAAAACTTGATCGCATCTTACTTTTGCTATCATACGTCATATATTGTTCTGATTTAAAATAGGGGAATTTTTACCACTTACCTAAACAATTCCACATTATGCCATTTAGAATCAGTAACACTATGTGCAGTCAATGCAAAACGTTGAGATCCGCTTCCCATGTCGAAGACGAAATGTAAATAACCTTTGATTAATTCAAATGCTAAAAAATCAACACCATATTTATCTGAGTTGAATAATATTAAACCGTGTTCCTGAGATGTACGAAATGTAAACTGTAGACGGAATTTCTCGTACAAATGCATAGATGGATTATGTAGGTAACAATCGGATATTTTAAATGTTATGAAATTGATTGTTGTTTTCACTTCGTTCACTGGCGTTGTTATTGATGTTGATGATAATGATGAATGATAGTAGTCGCCATGACTTTCTACCGATTTATTATTATGTAATTTGTGTTCTTCTCTAGGATGATATTGATTTGTAGTGTTAGCTATATTGCATCGAAAATTCAGAGATGAATAAAAAAAGGATAAATATATAACAGTTACTTATAGTCTGAAGAAAATATAAGACTTAATACATGATATTCATGAACCAATAATTCTATAAATTTTGATGTATACAGGAAAAACAATTACTTATTCATAAAATCACACTATCAATTCCAGAACTCCATAAAACACGGCAGACACTTATCAACAGTGGATCTCCACCTAGATTCATTGGTAGAAATATAGATTCAAAACATGAACGTGAAAGAATGTCTTGAGCACCAACGAAGATCGTTTGTATATTCGTTATCAAGCTTCAATTCACTTTAGCTGCACACATATACAATATAAATCATTGCAAACAAATCCCTCAATAATTATGTATTTATGACACTAGATCAAATTAGTTACAATTTGTTCAAGACTATAGATATGTCTTGCGGACTAGTATCAATTAATATGAAACCTAGATTCGGGGTTATCTGCCAATAATCACCTTAAATAAAAAAATGAAAGTATATTGTAAGAAAGATAGAATAGTGCTATAGATTATACTGCTAACCATAGTCAATAGGGAAGGATAATATGGATTAGGATGATAAGTGCTCTATGACTATTATTATTACTAATGGTATTATTCGAAATAGTAGTAGTAGTAGTAGTAGTAGTAGTAGTAGTAGTAGTAGTAGTAGTAGTAGTAGTAGTAGTAGTAGTAGTAGTAGTAGTAGTAGTAGTAGTAGTAGTAGTAGTAGTAGTAGTAGTAGTAGTAGTAGTAGTAACATATCAGAAATATAAATTATGAAGGCAGATTGATAAAATAAACAGACATTTGAAAGTCGGAAGTTAGTTAAAGCTTAAGCACAAATGATTTGTATACTATGAAAAAAGAAAATGTTTAGATAATCAGTCCAAAAGATATAAATAGTAACGACTGAACACGAAAAGCTGATTTAAAAAATAAACAAATAAATAGAGATTGAAAGAATCAGACAATTCGTTCATTATATCTTCCCTGGTTAAGAAAGAAGATATAGGAATATGTGTGGAAAGAGTAGAACTGTTTTTTTTTAATGATTTTTATAAGGTCCTCAATATGTAGGAGGCAAGTCTGGAATTTAGTCGAGTAAAAATGAGAAAGAATATATTGAGTGTCTCTAAATATTGGTTTTATTTATGATGGTCACTATTGACAAAATGTGATTGGCTTACTATTTTTTTCTTACATGCATTTAAATAAAGTAGTATTTTTAATAAGGACATAATGAAAATCTAATTAAACACAGTAATAATAGTTATAAACAGAGATGAATGGTGGCTAGCAGTGGGATCCTGGACACGAGTTTGGTGTTATTTTGGACTCGTCAACTATGTATATGCAGTCCTAAACGTAAATGGAAAGTTTCAAACATCCAATACAAGTTGAAGTACTAGTGGATTTTGTGTTTTACTCTAACTTGTACAATGTAGATCTTCAATATTGTAATAAATTAAAATCTATAAAATGAACGTCCATGTGGAACATAGTTAATATTGCATAGTTAATCACTTTTAAATGGGTAAGATAGTGTTTACTTGTGTTGAACTTCTACAAGTTTTATCATGAATCCACTTCAAGTTTCTTATAATATCCACAAACTTACACAATTGAAAAATCTAAACGAAGATAACTTTCATCACTAACTGTGAACTATTTTAGAACATCTATAGATCCATAAAGCATTGATTAGTTATTTATTGATATTATGGGTCATTTTATCATTTACAACATATATACGCAACTGTATTTAAGTAAGATTAATATATAAAACTATGGTAAAAAGTAAACTCGAACCGTAGAAATTATTCTGAATGTAGATGATTTTCTATTTCGCACATTTATCCGCATTGGGTTAATACTTGATAATAGAGTTCGTAAAATAGTAAGTCTATCATTCAAGGGATATTTCAGCATATTAGCTTTTGTTATTAATTGTGAAAACATATGATCTATTGTGGATCGCTGAGCGAAAATTAATCAAAGACCGTAGACTTGAAGGTTAACAGTTTACTTTGTGAAAATTAATACATATCTTGGGTAGAGTCTGAACATCAACTCTATAAATTATCGTCACCTAATACAGGAGAACAATTTCGTGGTAAAAACACAGTTCAATATGAACATAATAATCAATTATACACAAATATGGATAGTGGCTTGCAGTGGAATCAAGGACGCGCGTTTCGTCCTATTTGAGACTCGGTAACTGGATTTACCTGCATCTCAGAGTTGATGTTCACCCTGGGACACAAACTAAGGCTATATCGAGACAATACGTGCAGTATGCACATATGCCAATAACAGACTGATTGATTAAAGTCCTAAACATTAATGGGAAGATTCAAACAAACAACACCAAATGAATAATAATCGGTTCTTTGTAAATATACATACAATCTGTAATTACAATGCTGGGACGTCTTATGTTCGCTGTTTACCTAATATTGTGTTAAACTATTTCTTAAGTAACTCACGTAGAACACAATAAAAATATTCTCTCCTGATTATTGGAGTAAAACAAAATAAAGAATTATGAAATGAAAATTACTTACAAGATATTATGTGTATCCGCTTGGAGTTCAGTTGTGAATCATTTGACTGATTCATATGGTTGTGAAAATTGATTTGTGTTTTATAATTTGGTAAATCGACCTAGATAATTGATCGGACAATGGAATGAAAAGTAAAGAATATATATGTTGAAGATATTTAGAAAGTAAATGTTTTCAAAGAATTATTCATGATTATTTATTACAATTTTAATAATTGAATTAATGAGTCGACCACTGTCGGAAACTTGAAAGCATTGGATGGCCTTTTCGTTTTAATATTGGACTCCTCAACAGTGCGCCTACACGATCCCGCATGCAGGGCCCAAACTCAGGACCTTAGGTTTCACGCGTGAACGCTTAACCTTTAAACCACTGAGCCGGCATCCAACGGTGTTAATGTTTAACTTCAATCGATCCATGATCTTGCGCAGTCTTTCATCCATTGTCTGAGGCAGATGCCTGTCTCTATCCGAGATGTGTTGAACACCAGTGGTTACTGCTCCTCTCTGGAACTCTAGAAAACCCATCTTGAAGCCAGTCATTAGTGAGCACCTGATGATTACTATTAGGTTGGGAGGTTTGTGGAGGTCGTACTAATTTTAATAGTTGAATTCATGAGTCAATCTGAGCTAGTGCTTACAGGCTTTCAATGCTGTTATTGCTTAGATTGACTCATGAATTCAACTGTTAACATTACTACAATCTTCACAAACCCACATTCTGTAATTATTTATAGTGTTTATAGTGTGCCGTACATATTGTTATATTGAATGTCATATTACTTTTTGGTCACTCACAACGTAAAACCTGGTATTTATGTTAATCAGTTCTAGTTGCCATACCGTATTAGCACAGACAGATTAAACTGTTAGACCAAATTGCAGAATAGTAGAGATGGTAAGATTATTAGTTGTAATAGAAAAGTTTAGTCATCCATGATACAATCCGAGGAAATTTAAATTAGTGAAATTAAAACAAACCGATCGTGAGGAATTTAGAAACTCAAGATTTTGGAGAAGACAGAGGGTTTGATGTACCTGAGTCATTGAAGGATATCTTGCCTACTCCACAAGTGATGGAATTTAGCAAAAATCATTTTAGCTGTTTGAATCTATGCTAAGGTTTTGTCAAGCAATAGACCATCAGGGCTGCCGAAATTCCAAAGATAAGCAAAGCGATCAATACGTCCAACTTCTTCGTACCCTATCGTTAATTTCAGATGCCGACTCATGTCAATCCTAAAGGAGAGAGAGAAACTAATCCAGAACATTCTTGTATCATTGCTTAATGTGGTTAGAAGACTTCGCATAATGTCATCATCTTCATCAAGCTGAACTATATCATTTGTACTTTCTTATTCAACAAGTAAACATCCAAAGAGAAAATCAACCCCCTAGAAAGTTAGATGATGAGAGTATCATTTCTGAATATATATCTATGATAAATAAAAATGAATACGGTGGACAACTCTAATGAACACTACATCAAGTAACCGATTCCGATGACAGTTCGTCATAAGCTCTAACTTTATCAGTAGTGTTTCAATAGAGATCCTGTACAAGACTAACATACTATTTTGGTTCGCGGAACCTCACGATCGACATGATACTTGAATTCGAAATTTCCATTACTTCTAATCGAAACAGAGTACTCGAAGTATTAGCTCTATTATTCATCAACTTAAGCGGTAACTTCTTCAACTCACTAAATAATCCTATCCTAGGGCTTCCCCACTATTTATCGTTTGAACATAGTTCAATCAAAACTCAAAATCATTCACTTTCTCATCATTTAAACGGTTCATTTTGGTGAACCCATAGATCTACCTTGTTTCTAATCTAAAATTTCATTGATAGTAAATATTCAATTGATGTAGTTTAATTATCTTAGATTCATTAATATAAAATTAATCAGTCATTGTAAATGTTTTTCTTCAGTAATATAAATTCGATAAGAAAACAAAAACAAACAAATAAACAAACAACATTTGTCAATATCATATCAAGTGACAGCTTTAATTGAAACATAATACAATGATAAATATATCAATATAGTAACAAACTCTATCAATCAAAATGTTTCGTTATATTATGGGAATGATATCAATGTATAACAAAACTATTGTAATTTATGGTAAATAATTAAGTTTATTTGATAGTAATCAATTCTATATTTACTATGAACACTTCTATATGTAAATTGCATATTGTTGGAATTTAAATTAAACGATTGTATGTTAATTTCATTTAAAGCTAGACCACCATGGAGAACCTTGGAGCACTGGATGGCAGTTTCTTCCTATTGTGTGACTCCTTATCACTTGGTACACACGACTCCACCTCCCGGGATTCGAACACAAGCTTCAATTGATTCATTATCTCAACTATTGAAATTACTATTATATTCACGAAAAAAACACTTCTGATACATTGTATATTACTTTAATTAAAAAATTTTATTTTGTTGCAAATAGAAAATTTCACCCTTCTACTCATAATTAATAAACAAAATTAAATATCGAATTAATTTACTACTCATTATTGATAGTAAGGATAGAAAATGTGATCAGTCTACTCTGAAATATATGGATGTTGTGAAGATCATCTTGATTTTGGTATTAGTGAAAAGGATTTTTAAACAGAGATTGTTAGAAGATAGCAGTTAAATATAACTCAAGTGTTTTGCACTATCTGGGACTCATTTGCTTAATGTACCTGTATCCCAGTGTTGATGTTCACTTGAAATTGACTGCAGTCCTAAACGTCAGAAAATAGATGTTAAACCCTCAAAATGGAATTATAACTTATTTTTATTAAACAAACCATTGTTTATGTATGCACAATGGATAATATGTTGCTAATAGAAACAGAAGTAACTGGGTTAAAGTTCTGAAGTGAACCTCAATACTCGGTGGAAAGTATAGCCTGCTGACGAATTTGAATAAGAAGGAGCATGGGTTCTGAACTCCACTCAAAACCACTATCCATCTCTGTTTTGAACATACAAATGTTATTTTCATGAGTCGGGCTAATAATTATTTTAATGAATGTTAAATTTATAAAGACTTGATTATTAGTAAAACTAATAATTTTATTTCCAAAAACAGCAGAAGCCGAGAGTGGTGTTTGTGAAACCATTTGGTTACCACAACTACTTTAATGTCATAAAAATAACTATTTCATTTTTGTGCACAAAAATGTTTAGTTGTTAATGATCTTTTTTTTCAGAGGGTGAACTTCGAATTCCGAGTCCTGAGAATTTAGAATAAAACAATTCCTGCTTTAACATAAAAACGTCTAATAATTTCGAGCTATTACATAAAAAATGTCCGATAAATCTTGAGTGTTTATAAACAATGCAATATTTTGTGAAGAGATCGCTTACTTTTGATATCCGTTTTTACATCCCTATAAATTTGTTATTTTTCCTCTGTCAATATAATTGAATATGTAATAAATAAAGCTTTAGAAACTATGGTAATGTAAATCAAATGCCTTAGGCCACAATAAGTGGAATTAAGTAACTGAAGAAAGTGTTAGCACTATGTACTACTAATGTAGTGCTAAAACGCCAGCCAATGCTACTTAAGGTGACTATTTAAAGGGCTTATTTATGCTTGTTTCCCCTCGTGAATTATAGACCACCGACCAGAATAATAAAGGTGAGAATCGCGAAAGGGAATAACGTTTATAAGGGTTGCAAATTTCGTTAGTTGACTTTCTGTCCTTTTGCTTCTACAACCAATCGACTGTTCAAAATAATTAAGCAGAGAACATCGTATCGAAAAAAATATTCAATGGTTAGTGAAAATGACACACTGTTAAAATTTCCTTACTGTAGAATCTCATACAAATCATTAGGCCTATGAAATAAATTGTCAGCTACGCAGTTCCAAATAGATGTATGAGATAACATAACTAGGATAATAATATTAGCAAATTATTTTTATTAGTTGAGATCATGAGTCAATTGAAGCTAGACCACCATGGAAAACCTGGAAGTACTGGATGTCCGTTTCTTCCTATTGTGGGACTCTTCATCAGTGGGCACACATGATCCCGCATTCCAGGATTCAAACCCTGGTCTAGTAGTCAAGCGCTTGCCAGCGAGACTGATAAGTCTAGGGTTCGAATCCCGTGAGGCGGAGTCGTGGATGCCCACTGCCGTGGAGTCCCAGTGCTTCCATGTTTCCCATGATGGTCTAGCCTCAATTGACTCATGATCTCAACTATTGAAATTACTACAGTCTCCACAAAATCCCTTCTGATACAAATTGTTTTTTTAATTCAAAAAATCACAATGATTGTTACATATTGACTCTTCATTGAATGTCGTGAATAGTCTTAGAGGTGAAAATACAAATGATCAAAATTTCAAACTATTAAAAAGTTTATTTCTCTTTTTGTTGCTCATCTTTATCAATATACGTTTTTCGGATAGCCACTCTTTTGTCTTCATCTTTATGAATAACTACCCAAAATAACAGTTTCATAATAATACGTTACAAATTTACTAACATAATGAACTTGTGGTGGTCGGTATCCGATATAATCCTTAATTTCGTATACAGTTCGTCTTGATAACCGTTCCATGTAACGCCCCAACGGTCTATTAATCAGAAGGCGAGTACGAAGTGGTGATTACGTTTATTGCGAGACCACACACATATATCCAAATGTACAGATGCGTTAAACAAGCATAGAAGAGTTGTGCCGAAAGGCAAGCAAGCGAGCGAGAACCAGAGCAAGAGCGAGACGAGAGCGTGTGAGTGTTGAATATGAATAACATGGACATATATATATATATATATATATATATATATATATATATATATATATATATATATATATATATATATATATATATATATATATATATATATATATATACAATAAATTGTTATAGTGCAGATGCCTTTGTCCGCTAAATAAATTAGCAAAAGGGCTTAACTGAGTTAAATGAGAATACTCATTTGCACGTGAGTCGCTATAAACTTACAAAGGATATAACTAACGATTTTATAGATTTTATTGTGAAACAGTAAAGGGAGCTGAAAATTTTCACTAAACGATACTGTACATTCGGATAGGAACGATACATTGACAATATGAATTAGAGATAAAGAATTTTTTCTTAAATTAAAAAAAAGAGATTCTTAAAAAGCTATTGAAGTTCAATCATTACTTATCATCTCTTATAATTGTATCAATAATTCAATGTGAACTTCACCTAAAATGAATAATACCAAATATTACTTGGAATCATACATATTCGCTACATAAATAATTCATATTTATCACATTATTATTATTATTATTATTATTATTATTATTATTATTATTATTATTATTATATACCAGAATGATACAATCAATAATGAACAACTTACCTTCAAAGATTGAAACATATTTTCACTTGTTTCTATACACAGTAAATATTGACTAATAAAGACAATAATTATCATGTCATCAATAATACAGTTATACACAATATCATTGTCATATTACAGTTTACAGTATGTTCTATTATTTTTTAATGAATGGAATTGAATCATTTTGAGAGAGAAAAAAAACGAGGACTGATGATACAAAGCACTAACTGATATAAGGTCTATTTTTGTAATTTATCTATGGTAAGAAAAGAAACAATAGACATAATGAAATTAATATCCCATTAATATATCAATAATATATATATTATATAGTTAGATTTATGTACAATTCGATCTATTATTATTACAATTGAATGGGACTTACGGTTAAATCAGCATATTAACACGACTGAAACATGTTATTATTGGTATTCAGTTTAAATTACTACCTTTCTATTTGACATTGTTGTAGTATTGTAAGCACTCTTTGATATACAGTAATTAAAACGTATTAACATGAATAAGTAATAGTAGAGTAGTGAATCAAACTCCATTATCATATTTTAGCGTTACCATGTTTGTTCTTTCTTAATAAGTAGAAAATTGTTTGATCGCTGGTTGGTGATTAATGTCAGACACTTCTTAGTGCAGCTCGAATCCTACTGACCAAGTTGCAATGCGGCCAGTAGTCTAGGTGACTTGACATTGTGTGCACTATGTTGACATAAGATGATGGTTAGAGGTAGTCAATAGGAAACCCTGGACCTAGATTTCGTGCTACTTGACACTCGTCAGCAAGGTGTACCTGTAAGCTTGAGGGAACTAATGCTCTATGATGGATTCGATCCCGTATCACCCAGATTCAATGTCAGAGACGTTACTACCGACCTCTTGTAGGACTGAGATGTATTTATAATTGATTGATCACTAGGTGGTGATCAACGCTATGTATGTCATGTGCTTCTTAGTGCAGATCGAATCCTATCAACCAAGTTGTAATGTAGCCACCAGTATAGGTGACTCAACAATGAATTATAATGTATTATGCTCAATTTCATTACATAATGATATTATGTTAAACACTTACCTTTACTGTGTCGTTTAATAGTAATTTTCTGTCATAGTAAGACTAAGATTATAAGAACGATGTGATATATATTAACATGATATATTTGGAACAATCTGATCACATACATTATGTTCTCACCCTAAACCTACACTAACAAATATTCACATTGTTTTTCATATTATTTTCCTTGTTATCTTTGTTTTCTCTTACCTTCCATATATGTAGTAGACTTTTTTATTATTTATATAGAATTTACGTAAATCTAGAAGAAACAAAACGCTGAAAAATGTTGGCAAATAAATATTCCTAGTGATTTATATTTTAAAATTTGTCATTATCTAAATATGATGTTCATTTTGAGCAAATGATTATTAAAGCAATCGTTAAATTATATTAGGATATATTCTGTTTATTATAATCCATTAATTCATCAATATTGTAGGTAGATATTCAACAGTCAGTCAGCTAGTAACAACGTGGAACTTCGTTCATACGTACATCAGTTCGAGTTGCCATACCACGTTAGCATAGAGATGCAGTTGTCGGTTCAAATCCCGTAGTGTTAGAGGTGGTAAGAGTATAAGCAGCAATCGGGAAGATTAAGGTCTGAAGTTGTTATTCAAGGAGTATAATACAGTGAAGTAAATTTGGAAAGAGGAATAAAGGGACATGAAGGATTCAGAAGATTAGAATTTGAGAGAACATAAAGGGTGGATGCACCTGTGCCATTGCAAACGATTTTGAGCTATATTCAACAGGTGACTTTTCAAAAGTTTTGTAACAAATCAATCAATAATATTCGTAAACCATGTGTAAAACACTTTGTTTCTTGATATATCATTTCTTAAAACAACAATAATATCAAGTCACTTGGTTACTAAGATAAGACTAAGTTAATAATCAAAACTAGCTGAATGAAAATTCTATTAGTTGTGTAAATTATTAATATTGGCTTAGTGAAGCGTATATATTTTACAGGAATCTATAAGTTTAATGAAACAACATATAAGTTGATGGATTACATTTAATAGGTAATAGGTGTATACCTCTTTACGTTAAATTTTAACAGGTTTGTTATTTGTATATTGGATGTTGTACTGCTAAATTCTAACCAGCTGAATTTTTGTTATTCATTATCACACTAAGAACAGTATTTTAATACACTGTACTTTATATAAATGTTTAATAGTGTTATAAACAGTCCAATAAAGTACACAGGTGATTATATTAAATATTGTCAATACTTCATAAAATAATATCACTGGTACTAGTGTGGTGCGTGCTACTTATATTGATATAATTAGTATATGACGCGAGTCAGGACTGTAATGTCTGGCAGCAGAAGTTAGAGGAAGATCAAGAAATGAGGAGCGGGAATAGAAAGCAATTAATGTGGAAATGCAAGAATAACGAAGTTTAAGAAAATTTTTGAAAATTTATACAAAGTAAGTAATTTTGTGCTAAATATAATTCGGTTGTCCTCACCTGTGTTTTCCTTCACTACACTAGTAATCGTAAATATAACATATTTTTTGTTGTGGTCATCAGAAAATGGAAGACTCCCAGTAAGCCAAGTGAAGTCTATGTACCTGAATCTCAGTATTAACGTTTATACCTACCACTTCTAAAAAAATGCATCATTTACTAAATAAAAAAGACGTAGCTCACATAACTTTGACATATTCAACTGAAATGAAAATTTCATACACATAGTTCCCTTTATTATCTTAAATAGAGTAAGAACAAAGATTAGTGCAGATTAATATGAATTCAGTTTATTTCGTTAGGTTCTCATCAGCTGCTTACAACCTAAATTATTTGAAATTCAACATTATTACAGATATTGACATATTTATACATAAGAGTGTGATTAAGGATCAATACATGTGTATGATGATGTAGAAAATATTCACATAGAGTTAATGAGCTCATAAAATGTTTGATTCGAATAAATAAATAAAACTAGAGAGAGGGAAAGTTCTGGAACATTGAAATAGTGATTAGAACTCATGAAAATAGATTAATAATAATAAAGAAAAAATGAATTGAAATCAATCATTTATGTATGATGTAATTTAAACTTCAGAAAGAGTTGCAATAATGACGCAATAAATAAATAAATAGAAGCAAATGAATAGAAAGGATGGGGGTTATTGTTACCAGGGTAAAGAAAGATTTATTACTGTCTCTTTTTGTATACATAGATCTGGTTTTAAACGATTGATTGCTAACGCTTCAGCGAATTTCAAAAGGTTGGAGTTTGATTGTTTGTTAATCAACTTGAAGGACTTCAGTATATCAACTTCATGTCCTGTATCAAGGAGATGTGTTGCAATAGCACTGTTGAATGCGTTCAATCCATTTAACCTTAGACTTTTCGGAATATGTTCTTAGAATCGGACGTAGGATCTCTTTTCTGTTCTACCAATGTAACTGCTTCGGCAGGTAAATGTAAATTTGTATACACAGTTGGTGGTAACATGAAAGGGATACCTGTCGACCTTTGATTATGTCAAAGAACATGTTGTTTTGGAAAGGACAATCAATTTCGCTGAAGGATAAGTTCTCGTTAGTGTAGTTTTTAGTCTCATATTGATTGATCCTGTGATGTCGTCACCTTTGAATTGAAGTTGAATAAAAATAGGCTTTTTATTTGCTGTAATTTCTTTCGGTTTTTTATCTTCACATTTGTCGTATTTTTCAATAAATTTCAGTGGGTATTCGTTATTCTTTAAACATTTTTTAACATTCATAACTTCCTCTTCTAGAGTATCGGAAGTACAAATTCTTTCTGTTCTAATCACTATTTCAATGTTCCAGAACTTTCCCTCTCTCTAGTTTTATTTATTTATTCGAATCAAACATTTTATGAGCTCATTAACTCTATATGAATATTTTCTACATCATCATACACATGTATTGATCCTTAATCACACTCTTATGTATAAATATGTCAATATCTGTAATAATGTTGAATTTCAAATACTTTAGGTTGTAAGCAGCTGATGAGAACCTAACGAAATAAACTGAATTCATATTATTCTGCACCAATCTTTGTTCTTGCTGTATTTATGAAATGAAAATGATATTTGAAACGATGTATCGACTTAAAGTGTAAATATTCCGACGGATAGTACACAGAAATAATCTTAAGTATCAAGAACTGAAAAGTATAATTTCCTCCAACGAATCGTTAAGATAAATGAAAAATAATAATGATACATTATGAAATTGACTATAGACCTGAGTTTATTTTACTTACATAAGAAATACCTTGTTTACGGAGTAAACATCTTGAGATACATCAATCATATACAGAATAAGATGAATATTCATTATAAATGCATAATATTCCTTATTTTAAATATTAATGACAGTAATTACTATGTGGTATTTTAATATTCTAATTTTATTCAACTAAATTAGAGTAACACAGTTATTGATTATACTTGGCTGAATGATTTTGAGTCGTTTTTTTTGTTGCTTCTATACAATATTTACTACTTATAAAGTAATAAAATAGCAGATAATAGTTAGTGTTATACCGTTACTACATTTTTACATTTTTTTTTAAACGAAATATAGGTTTTCTTTTCGGATATATTACATTGTTTCTGAATTTTCTAGTTCGATCCAGTGTGATAAAGTCATAGATGCATTTCGGAGAAGAGTCCTATATTAGAGTGTGATAGCTATCTAATGTTTCTTGGCTTCCAAAGACTATATGACTAAGATTAGAGTTGGTTAAGCGCCTGGCCTGAGACTGGTAAGTTCAGGGTTCGAATCCCACGAGGCGGAGTCGAGGATACACACTGCTGAGGACTTCCACAATAGGAAGAAACAGCAGTTCAGTGCTTCCAGTTTCTTCATGGTGGTCTAGCTTCAATTGAATCATGATCTTAACTGTTGAAATTTACTACAATCTCCACAAAACCCCTTCTGATACTAAGATCAGAGTGTAATTAAATCTATAAAAATATATGTATTTATTTATCATTAAAATGATGTCGATTTTTAATATTCACATTATAAATTCGTTCAATATGAATTAATGTGACTTACAATGAAATGAGGAAAATGGGGAAAGAAACAAAATATTCTTTATTCATTCTCATTTGGTAAATTAATTCTTGGATAGATCAACAATATCAGTCCCAAAACATCAATGGGAAGATTCAAATAAAACAATATCAAGTGAATTAAACTTCAACCCATTGCACAAGTAAGTGGCTATCAGGAATCAGTAGCTAAGTGGATAACGCGATGGCGTTTGAAGCGAACGGTAATGAGTTCGAGTCCCAGAGTGAACATCAACTCTGAGATGCAGGTACATCCAGCTGACGAGTCCCAAACAGGACGAAACGCGCGTCCTGGATTCCACTGCTAGCCACTATCCATCTCTGCTTATAATATCATACTAATTTAATCTAGAGTCTTAAACAAAAAAAAACAGCATACCCACATAGTGACAAATCAAATTTTATACAATTTGAATTACAATTGTATCAAACTGAACTCAAAATCAATTTCAATCATTGTAAGACTATTTTTGACAGATTGAGAAATTAGTTAATTGATTAATGTATTAAAGTATAAGTAAGTAAATGATAATCCTAATTAAAATGATTCAATTTTCAATGACATATTGTAAGCTATTTGATGTTTCAAATCGGATTTTTGAATTTATTAAATATCTATGGTTTAAACTAGTATTAACTTCATTTCATAAATATATCTTCATCAATCATCTTACGAATAGATTATTCATAGTAAAGATTGTGTTTATTTACGCATAAATAAAATATAAAGTTTTAACTATTTGATAAATTTTACTAACATCATTAACCGATCAAAGTTTTATAATTGCTGAAAATCCGGGAACACAATATGATCGTTCCTTTCTAGTATGGGACTCTTCAACAGTGAGCAGCATCCTTACCCTACTAGTGAGAACCTGATTTAAGATCTTTAAGTTTCTGTAGAAAATAGAAAAGTATTATTTCGACTGTCTAAGTTTTGGTAAAATTCAGATTGGTATAGTCGGAGAAACGTAATTGAAAAACCGGGATTTCAGTTAGTCAACTAATCGTTTTACCATACAAAATAGTCCTGTGCTAAATAGAATTGTAAAACTCCTAATGATCTAAGTTTGTATATGAAACTGTAAACTTAGCAAAATCAGTGTTCATAATTAAAATAGAATGATTAATTTAAAATTTTCAGTAATTTCACATATTTACAAGTAGAAATCTTCGACGTATGAATGAGGTTTTTGTTTACTTGTAGAGAATCTCATGACAGAAATGATAACTGAGAAACTCAAGGTCTTAGCAATATCACAAGGGATTTTGTGGAGATTTTTAGAAATTTCAGTAGTTAAAATCAATTGAATATAGACCACCATGGAAAACCTGGAAGCACTGGACGGCCGTTTCGTCCTAATATTGGACTCCTCAGCAATACGCACCCACGATCCCGCCCCCCGCTAGATTCGAACCCAGGAGCTCTCAGTCTTAGCAATAATTAATTGTTAGTATGCCTTAGTTTAATCATTAAATGCAAATAAAGGTCATTTGTTTGATTACGGTTACTTTTATCGCTTTGAATATTTATAGATTATTAACCTGTTACATACTTATTTTGAAAGTGAATTTGTTTCTATTACGTGTTTTCTTTGATGTAGATATATATCCATAAACACTTTGAATAATCCTCGTGTACTAAATTAATTGGCAGTTTTCTATCATAAAAAAATATTTTCCATTCAATAATAGCATTCATATAAGGAAAATATACATGACACCCTATGATTTTTAACCGATATGTTAGAGAACTTAATCTAATTAAGTTCTGAATGTTACAAGGATTCACAAATCACTTTGTTTACTAACAACAACTATGAATAACATAAATAAAAGAACTAATTGCTAAAGAGTGACGTGTTCATGAAGTCCTTGTTGAGATCATTACATTGGATCAATTCTTATGTAGTCAGTTTCGGTATATATATATATAATTATTACCATTACATTCATGAAGAAAAGTGTCTAATTATCATAAACAAACGTTGATGAGAACCATTCAGTGTGATTGGTATATCTTTAAACTATACATTGCAATCAAAAATTAATCCAGTATAGTTATGACGATGTTAAAAGAGATGAACTAAATCCAACACTGACTACATTTAAATTAGAAACATCATAGATCTCACTAAAAGCTTTGTAATACCAAATATCTAATTTTACGTTACAATGATTTCAGAGTATTTTGTTGTCGATATTCTGACTGAATCTTGATAATTCTTAGTTTGTATGTGTACATTCAAAGTGGATTGCCTCAATATATCCATTATTCCTCATATGAAAAGATGGGATGTGACTAACAATGAAATCCAGGATGCCCATTCATTTTATTTGAGACTAAAACTCTGAAGTAAACATCAACTTTGCGACTTCAGGTACATCCAGTTGACAAGTCCCAAATAAGACAAAACGTACTTTCCGAAATTCCTCTATTTGTCACATTTCATTTATTCTATGTATATTAATCAGAACAATTCATAACAATGACTCAATAAAATACTATGAGAACGCTTACTTCATTTTAATCTAGTCGATTATTTAATCATTCTATCAACAATTGAAATGACTCTTCTATGAGAATATTTGTTAAGTGTATTTTGAAACAAATTTATCACAACAACAAAGAAAAAAAAATTAAATAGATCCTGACTATTTCATTCAATTTTTGTAAATTAAAACATTCAATTACTAAATATTATATCCCCTTGTAATGATCCTTTCAATAAAGTAAGAAAATGAATATTTGTACTTTTGTTGACGTTGTCGTTCTTGTTGTTGTTGTTGTTGTTGAAGTAATTACATTTAATGCAATTGTTAATAAATACTTTTGTATAACTTCATTATTATAAAATTTCCATCATTGAAACCTTCAAAAGTGTGATCTATAAATATACATTCATAACATATTTCCTATAAAATTTTATTTCAATTTTCCTAAACGAATAAACAAATTATTTTTTTTTAAAAAATGGGATTTTCTACTTTAAAATTCACCAAGGTCATTTTTCTGATTGGTTAATTAACTATTAGCCAATCATAATAAAGATTTAGTTTAAATGCACTTTATTAAATTAAATTACATATATAAACTGTAAATTTTAACAAAGTTTTGTTTAATATTTATATATTTGCTTAATTACACACTTATTTTTCTTCTAGATTTGTTTATTTGTATTTTACTTTATTCACTTGTAGTTTTCATATTTAGATTCAGTCTTCAGTGATAAGGATAGTAGGTTAATGAACCTGTATTAATCTTGACACATTGCTTTCCAGTGAAGGTCCAGTTTCTCCTTGAAAATATTCACTGATGAGGCTGATACCACTTGTTCGGGTAAGACGTTTCAAGCATTGATTACTCGATGAGAAAAATGGGACCCTATTTTAAGTTTATTATCATAATTTCACGTTTTTTTTCTGTTATTGTTCATTATTATTGATTTTCATCAGCTATCTAACATAAATCATTTCAAGCTAAACCGAAACTTAGGAAAGACTGAATATTGTGAATTCTTTGATAATTGATTGTTAATTAGACTATAACCAATAAAGTGTTATTAATGACTTTAGTTGTAAACTGGTTATCAAATATAATAACAAACAGAAAAAAAAACATTTCTTCACAGTGTGAAATATATTAACACCAAATTATTTAGGTAAACATGTTACAATTCAAAGTACATTGAAAAATGTATTACAGTTGGTGATGTTAAACTTAATAGATACAGTCTTATAATAAAGGTAACTAGTAATTAGTTTAACAGTGATGTGGTTATTGATTAAACAGTACAATAAAGACATTGTTTACATAAACTTGATTCACAGCTTTGAAGTAGATCTGATCTTAACTGGTTATATTTCTTGCCTATAATGTTCCCTTATAGTTTATTAAGTGATTGATAGAACTTTATAAAAAACTAGTCTTATTTATGTATAGATCATTGACATGATTGTGCTGTTATAATGTGGAGATCTTGAAAGCTATCAACCAGATATTTTAAAACAGATAAGATGTTAGTAAGTTATGAATTCTCAGCCTAGATCAAGCATATATTTTCTTGTATCTTATAAGGCAGTCTGTTAAGTTGTTTTATATTATTTTGATACTTAAGAACCGAAGTCTGTTTGGTAGTATTGGTCTACTTAACATGGTTAATATATTTGTTAGACATAAGTTGTATTTTCGAGGCCTTAAGTGTTTTTTAGACCGACTTCTTCGAAAAATAACACACTAATGAATGCATCAACTAGAAATTCTAATTTGCTACATCGTTACTAAATTTTATCACAATAAAGTACATTAATACAACGTTTGAACTAATTTAAGGGATGGGATAAGTTCGTGTAACTTTTAATCAATTAAAAATTGTAAGTATAATGTTTGCTTCGGTATAATTACTGTCATGACTGTGACTGTAGATTAGAGCGCAGCGTATTATCGATCGGACCAAAGACACGTAAAAACGCAAGAACGGCCTAGAGTTCTGATTGGTCTCGCTTCCCTGTCTAGCCCAGCCAGTTGAGTCCAGAACGTAAGTCTCAGCCTCTGAGATATGAATCATTATATTTCAAGCATACTGAGCTTATATACCAAACAAACCAACCACAACGTACCAATAAAATATGAAACAACATTTGTACAAGAATTAGCCAGATGTGGTTGTGAATGAGGGAGGTAGCGATTAATAGACAGGGAATAGTTCATGAATGGTAAATCGTATATTAATAGTTCATAGGTCAAAATAAAGCTCGTAATAACAGGGGCATGAATATGAACAGTTTAGTTACGAAACAATTATACGATAAAAATGTATTCATAATATTGATTCATAAATGGATCCGAAAAATTTCCATTCGTTATTGTTATCGGGATATAACAATTACTTTGTTACAAATTATACAGAATAGATGGATTTTATTTTACGTGTAATTCGGAGCGTATATTTCATGCTATTCAAAATTCACAATACCCATTGAACAAGTGATTGTTTATCTACAGCTCCATCGAATAAAACTGTAAGGATCTGAAATAAAACCTACTGGATTTATGCTTCACTATGTATATCATAATTAAAACATTAGTAGATTAAACTGACCATTTCATACACATAGTTCTTTTTATTATCTTAAAGAGAGCAAGAACAAAGATTGCTGCAGAATAATATGAATTCGGTTTATTTCATTAGGTTCTCATCAGCTGCTTACAGCCTAAAATATTTAAAATTCAACATCATTACAAATATTGACATATACATAAGAGGGTGATTAAATGTATCATGGTGTAGCGAAGATTCAGATAGAGTTAATGAGCCCATAAAATTTTTGTCTCGGAAAAAATGAAGTTTGAGAGGGAAAGTTCCAGAACATTGAAATAGTGATTCGAACTCATGAAAATAGGTTTATGGTAATAATGACGCGTCATTATTCCAACTCCTTCTGGAATTTAAATTACATAACACATAACTGACTAATTTCAATTCATATTTTCTTTATTAACATTAATCAATTTTCATGAGTTCTAATCACTATTTCAATGTTCTGGAAGTTCCCCTCTCAAACTTCATTTATTCGAGACAAAAATTTTATGAGCTCATTAACTCTATCGGAATCTTCGCTATACAATGATACATTTATTCATCTTTAATCACCCTCTTATGTAAAAGTATGTCATTATCTGTAATAATGTTGAATTTTAAATATTTTAGGTTGTAAGCAGCTAATGAGAACTTAACGAAATAAACTGAATTCATATTATTCTGCACCAATCTTTGTTCTTACTCTCTTTAAAACTGACCATTATCAAACTGAATTGAATAGATGTCTAGAATCCTACTGTCAGACAAAACCCATCTATTTTGTTTTATAAAAGTAATTTGTAATTTCGGTATACTATTTAAAACGATAAGTTCATATTTATTCTAGTATCAATAATTGAAAAGAAGCACTATAATAATAATGATAATAAGAGAAATTAGATCTAATATAAATTATACATAATCTTGGCATTTACAATAAGTTTCTAAATTATGATACGTATATATGTCTATACAAAATATTGAAAAACTTAGACTTCAATATAAGAAATACTATCCATTTTAGATAAGTTGAAATGTTTCAATCAGATGAAAGCAAAATCGAAAAAAGAAAATCACCGTTGGAATAGAATAACCAGGGTTTTTTTTCAGATTTCCATCCTGACATTTATCGAAATATTCATTACTGAATAAGATAAATATGTTTAAAAAAAACATTTATCGAGAATACTTTTATGATTATAATTAATAACGCGGAAAAAAACAACACTTCAGCACTGCTGATGAGTCCGTCAATGAGACGAAACAGCCGACTAGTGCTTCTAGGTATTCCATTGTGGCCTAGCTTCAACTAGTAAAACAAATAACTCTTCAGATTTCTTAACAACAACAAAATAATAAGAAAAGACAATTTATTCAGCAATTCCCGCAATGTCATGAAATTAAACATCGTTAATAAATACTAGGTGATAAAACTTTTTTCAAAATAATTGAGATTGCCAATCAATTGAAGCTAGACCACCATGGATAATCTAAAAGCCTTGTTTAGTCGTTTTGTTCTATTGTGGGACTCTTCGTAAGTGAGAATCCATGATCTCACCTCGGGAGATTCGAACCCAAGACCTGGCGGTCTTGCACTAGAGCGTTTTACCTCTAGAACTCCGAGCCGGCATCCAACGGTTTCATTGTCTAACTTAAGCTGATCCAAGTTCTTGAATGACCCGTCCTGGGTTCAAATCTCGCAAGACAGGATCGTGGATGCGAACGTGGGCGAGGAATCCCACAATAGGAAAACCACCAGTCCAGTACTTCCAGAGTTTCCTTGGTGGTTTAGTTTCAGTTGACTCATGATCTCAACTATTAAAAATTACCCCTTCTGATATTTATTTTTATTTAATAATAACATTACTGTTGATTATTTTAACATCACATACTCTGAATTGTATAGTTTAATTATACAATACAAACTTCAGGTAAACGTGAGGATTAATGATATTGTTTAGATAGTTTATAAAAAGTTCAATTAAATTAATCAGATTTTAAAGTGTAACACCATCGATATTAACCAACTTAGTAGTTATCTTTTGTATTATTTTTTAAATTGTGTAAATTACTCGATTGTTTAATGTTTGACTGAATATGAACAAATAATATCCACTACAGTATAGACTATATAAAACTGTTATATCAGATGGGAAATCCATTATTCATTGAATAATTCAATTTTATTAGATAATATCTTGATCTATTCCATGTAGATTCAGAATATAAACTGTTGTGGATGAGGAAGGATAGACTAATAATTAGCATGTTAAGTCCAATGGTGTCCTTGGACTTTAAATGGACATTTCCTATTGGTCGATATCTGTTCACTTGTTGAATATTGTACAAAATGTTGTTTTCTATTTTTATGGTACGATGTGGTATGTTTGGTTAGTATATAAATAGAGTATGTCTGAAATACAATGATTCATATCTCAGAGGCTGTGACTTTCGTCGTGGACTCAACTGGCTGGGATAGACAGGGAAGCAGGGCCAATCGGGACTCTGGGTCGTTCGTACGTGTTTACGTGTCACTGAATCGATCGATATAAAACGCTGCACATCTAAACCTGCAGTCCACACGTTACAACATAAACAAAACATTAATGTTTGCTTTTATAATATATATACTTTAGAATAGTAACAAGGCTAATAGCGTATAACCTGTCTATAATTGTAGAAAAATTAAATTTTCTAATATAACCATCACATGATATTAGTTTGCACTTTATTACATGAAAAAACAATCACGTAACCATGTGGCTATTCAAATTAATCAACTTTCATCAACATAATTAAATATGCCTTTCATTATTATTTCAAGTAGATAATTAAAATGAAGAAAAG